AAGGAACAGTCCAGACAAACAGTATTAAAAAAAAAACAAACAAACTTGCAAACTCTATGTTGATTTATTCACAGAATTATATTTCCTGCTACTTGACAGCTTTTAATGTGAGAAGTTGCCTGAAGAAATAATAATAAAGGAATTAAAACTCTTTTAGGATTGCTAGACAAATGCCCTCAAATAATCAAATGTCTGTATAGTTCTGTATAACTGAGCAGAACACGAGCTTTGAAATTGGTACAAAATGCCAAGTAGCCAATTATGTTAATGCAGAAAGTGCATCCGAACCAATTACATGAAGCAACAAGAAAAAAAATGATAACTTGCACATAGCAAAAAAATTGATTACATATCACCCTAAGTCCAAAGCAATACAGAAAAAACTCAAAGAAATAACACAAATAACTACTAATAATACTTCTATAATGGAGTAAATGAATTTTCTCTAGCCTTCAGAGAAGGGGGAAAGGGTGTATGTGTGAAATCTCTCCATTTCACATTTTCATCTGAAATATAACACAATCATCCAGGCTAAGGAAAACCTCATTCTCCTAAAAGAGAAAACACTGATGACCTGCCTGATTAGACACCAGCCTGATTTCTCAAAAGAGTAAATATCATTGGCCAGAAATAGACAAAAACATTGAATACTATCATAATTCTTTCACGATTTTTTTATCCTAAAGAGACATCATGCACTTGGCATTTTAACAGATAGCAAGTTACTTTTAAGTGGGTCAAGATATTTTCTAAACTATTCTTTTTCCTGAAAGGATCACTTAAAAGATGGGGTAGGTTTAGCACAACACATAGCATGAACTGCTCTGTCCTTGCTGATATACTCTGAGCCTCTGATCAAAGAATACATGTACGGTTTTGTTCCTGAGCAAAGTAAGCGGGAGATAATATCATGCTGCTATTAAAAATCCCAGAACAATTAGTGATTATCTCTAAAAACTACTATGCACTTTCATACAGGTAACATAAATCTTCTCTCACTCCTGTGCCTTGTAAAAGTTGGGAGCAGATATTCTACAGTTCTCTGATTTTATTCTGACACAACAGCCATGCTGTGTTGAGAAGAAGGACACTGCAAACAGTGAGCTTGTTAGCTGCTGTCCAGAAAGACATCTCAACTGGAACTAGCTCAGGCATTTTTTCACTCATTTTTGCTGCCCTTTTCTCCTCCTCTCTCTTTTGCTCTGAGTACTAATTATTCCTTTTCCTAAGCCCTCTGCTCCCTTTCTTATGTTCAGAGCCTAGTAAAAGTGGTGAGGTGGGAGGGCAGGCTTACCTCCTGCACTGGAGCTGACACTTTGAACCTGTTCTGTTCACTGATAGCAATGACTGACAGCCTGGACGGTCTAACTTGGAGTTTTGGGAGGAAGATTGCCTTCCACATAGCATAAACAGTCTTGTTTTAATGTTTGGAAAGTAATGTTGCAGGATTTATAGTTAATTGAGAGGGGTAGTAGCCTGCTCTGTGATTATGAGAGTACATCTTAGATATTAGTATAAGTATTTCTTGTTAAAAATGTCTTCTAATGACATTTCTAGTTCCTTGGAAATGGCAAGGTAATATCGTTACAAACTGTCTGTGGACTTGGGGAGAAAATATGAGGATAGAAAGATACTACTCCCTATCCAACAAACCACCTCACGAGAGTGCTTTGGTTCTTGTAATTAGACTTTTTTATTTACTCATTAATTTGTTCATATTGTCATTATCATATTAAGGGAGCATTCCTAGTGGCTTCCTCAATCTTACATCTGCTACTACTGGCATGTAAAACAGGCAGGAGTTAGGACTCTGGCTTTTAGTTAACTCCTTCATAAGGCATAAAGATTCAAAATAAAGCCTGGTCTTTACAGTCACCTTGAGGACACAAGGTACCCCAGGTTTTTAAATTGAAAAGTACTCTGGAACAATCCTACTGCATTGACTATATGTTGTGTTTGCTGCTGCCGGGTAGGTTGCAGGTGTCCCTGCTCATTGCAGGGGTTGGTCTAGATGGCCTTTAAAAGTCCCTTTCAATTCAAACTATTCTATAATTCTATGACTTAAGTCTTAAATACAGTTTTAATAAGAGATATAACTATTTACCTGTAGAGGTTATAACTCTATAGTTATGTCTTCTCATATTATGCCATCTCTAAAAGCTAATCTGAACTAAAAACCTCCTCGTGTGATGCAATCTCAGTCACTCCCAGCAAAGGCTCCTCCTGTCAGTTCTCCATCTTAAACTGTCAAAAACTAAGGAAGAAATTTCCAGGGGGGCCACAGGCTTTGTTTCCTAAACACCCTCCTATTCCTGCTGCGATACAAATTCAGTAATAATGCTCTTGGCAACTTGTGGATGGCAACTTCTGAGTGTGGAACAATGACAAGTAGATACCAATGATCATGGTCTGTAGCTGTTTTCCAAGTAATTTCGTGACCTTCTCTTTTACTAATTCCCCTCACCACTTCACCCCCAACACTCCAACCTCCCCGATCCAAGTTTCAAAGTTTTAGTTATAGGTTGAAAAACATACACAGATATATATATTAGCAGACCAATTACTTTTACCTGGAATTCAAAATTTGCTCAAGTAATTGTCCTCCTTCCTCATACTAGTCCCATATCATTACCCAAATTGGTTTTGGAAATTGTGCTGCCTCTCAGTGGGCGCTTGAATGAGAATTTGATGATGATGAAAAACTCCTGTCATTGTCCTGTTGTTTGGGAAGCTCATTATGTGAGATACAGAGTGTAAGTGATCCACTTGTTTTATGGGTTTCCATAAAGATAACTTAGAAGGTATAAAACCAAGTAACTGCATCTCAACAATTTAAAGCCAGGAGCACTACAATAATTAAAGGACCTTTCTAAACTGTACTGGTAGAACAAGCAAAACACTATAATCAACTTATCTGGGGAAGTAATCAGACAATAAAAACTGAGGTATTTTAGGGACTAATAAAGCTTGAATCTAATGACTATAATAAATCTTTAGCTGCAGCTATTCCAGAACAATTTTCCTCGCAGTAAAAAGTATTCTACAGGGCTTTCTGTATGAAATTATTACTGGTTGGTTGGTTAGATGTTGATCGTAAGAAACAACTGAAGAACCATAATTTTATTTTGGCATGTATTTCCATCATCTACCTCTCTCTTTCACCATTAAGTCCTTGGGCTTCTCAAAGGCTAGACTCAAGCTAGCCTTTACACAAGCTACTATTTTTACGTATAGTGGATGGTTATTGTAAGTCATTTCATTATATTGTTCTAATAGTTCCATAAAACTAGTACATAATGGTAGGGTTTTCTACTATCAAGTATGTACACCTAGTACAGTAAAGTATTTCCTGCTAAATCTATCCTGTTAAAAACAGAAATGTTGATGTAATTGCCTTGCTTTCCAAGTTTTTTTTACTTTTTATATGTAATGCTACCATGTGACATATATAATACTTAAATAAAATGTTTAAAGTTTGCCAGTCCTAGAAACTTACATTTAAAATACTAATATACAAAACCAAGACACCTTACCAGAAGATCATAAAATTATTATTCCTAAGTACTCATATATAAAATAACTGTCACAAAGAAAATGAAAATAGGAATGAAAAAGGAGCAGTAAAGAAAAAGAAAAAAATAGGAAAGACAAAGAGCCAACGAATCCCTTGGCACAGGCCCTGAGGTTTCTGTGCATTGTCAGCTACAAACCAGGATCCTAGTGAAGGAGGCTGTGCAAGCTTCATGCAGTGACAGGGAATGCATAAGGCCAGAACAAATGTCATTGTAGGGAGAACAGATTCACAGTGCTCTCTAGCAAAAACCTGACTTCCTTTTCCATTAATTCTGCCTCTGCATCTTCCTACCCAAACTAAGCTAGACAGAAACCCTTATTTGGTAAACATGGAGTTGACAAGGACTGATTTTAATGTCACCTGTCTCTCCAGCCTTAGCACAGTTGGCAGTGCTGAAGCCAGCTCCTGGGGTCAGGCAGCCCAGGTTGACTCTTGCCCACAGATGCAGGAGGAGCTTGGTGAAACTATGATCTACAGAATCCTAAACTGGGACAACACACATTTTACTCTTGAAACAGTAGGAGTTGTCACAACCACCCCATGACCCAGTGCAACACTATAGGTTTGGAGAAGAGTGGTTGGAAAGCTGCCCACTGGAAAAGCACCTGGGGGTACTAGCCAACGGCCAGGTGAACATGAGCCAGCAGTGTGTCCAGGTAGACAAGAAGGCCTATGGCATCCTGGCTTGGGTCAGAACTGGTGTGTCCAGCAGGATTAGAGCAGTGATTTCCCCCTGTTCTCAGCACTGATGGGGCTGCATCTGAATCCTGTGCTCAGCTTTGGGTCACTACAAGAAAGATATTGAGGTCTGGAGTATGTCCAGAGAAGAGCAACAAAGATGGGTCAGGAGTGCAAGTCTTATAAAGAAGCAGCTGAGGGAGTTGGGATTCCTTAGCCTGAAAAAAAAGGAGGCTCTGGGGAGACCATAAAGATCTCTACAACTACCTGAAAGGAGGTTATAGTGAGATAGGGATCGGTCTCTTTTCCCCAGGTAACAAGCGACAGGACAAGAGGCAATAGCCTCAAGTTGCTCCAGGGGAGGTTTAGATTGGATAGCAGGAAAAATTCCTTCACTGAAAGGTTTGTCAGGCTGCCCTGGTGGTATTTAAAAGATATGTTACTTGGGAACATGGTTCAGTGTTAAGTTAACAGTTGGACTCAATGATCTTAAAGGTCTTTTCCAACCTAAACAATTCTATTGTTCTATTCTGTGATCACGTAAGAGCGGAATACATTGATGCCAGCCTTGGAAACAACTGTGTGTTTACTTTGAAAAGCACATGCTCTCTGGATGTTTATCCAATTTTAGTTTATCTACATCAGATGTACAGCAGCTAAGCACCATTACTATTTAACGTGGCTTAAATCAATCTTCCCAGAAAGCATGGTTTTAAATTTCAGAACAGACTGTTACTTTCAGACTTACCTTTTTCTGTTTTGTCTTGTTCGGTTTCTTTTTCACTTTTCCCTGGAATATTAAAAATATAATTTCATTGGAATAAATTTATGTTTATGATAAAAAAAGAGATACAAGAAAATTAAAACTTATACTCAAAACATAATTGAGCCAACAGGACTTCTTTGTTTCATTTTTATTTTTTAAAGAAACCATAGATAACTTTCTGAACTATATAGTTACCTTTAAGGTCTTGCCCTGCAGATTCTTCAAATATTACATTATCGCTTTGATCACAAAATATTTCCTAGAACTTCCTCTCTAGCTACTTAGTAGATTTTGGTGATACACATTCACAGTATGCAAGAAAGAAAATCTGTTAACTAATTAAAAACTACTGGGAACACTAGCTTAATACATACATTTGATCAAGATATGAAAAACAAAATCGATTGGGAACCAAACTCTCATTTTCAATTGAGCACTTGAAAGCTTTTGTTTTATTAAACTTTTAAAATAATTTAACAGCTGTTCTGTAAACATTTGACTGCACAGGTAAATGTTAAGACAGTCTGTAGCGAAGACAGACTACATCCTGTACCCAAATCACGTATGTGTGTATCATGAAGGTAATAGATACATAAACATCTTTTTCCCTCCTCTAAACACTATTTGATCCTGCCTTACTCTATAACATATAGAGTATCTTGCTTCACAATTACAACACTCTTATTCTGTTTCCAATTTTGTCCCAGTAAGCTTCCAATATTTCATCCTAATAAACTTAGAGAACACTAAACAGGGAGGTCAGTTAGCTTTTTAGTTAGTTATTTTCCTCTCTAATATATACTGTTTAATTTTGAGGTATATATATACATACATATATAAAAAAAAATAATTTTCTTAAATTTCCAAGTCATTTAGAGACACCTTGTCAGAATATTCAGTCTTCACTGTTTTTCAGACTGATTGCTCAGAAGCATTACAGTGTGAATAAAATACACCATTTAAAATGCTGGAAAACATTTCAGTTTTTCATGGAGAAACTGGATTATGCACATACTTGAAATCAAATTATTTAACATTCTAATTTCACCCTTTACTACAGATTGACAACTTCTGCTACTGAGAGTATGGACACTACAACCACTACAACTCTGATTTACATTCAGCACAAGACAGAATGACCATGAACTTGATTATGATATGGTAAATTAAATAAATATCATCACGCTGAAAGTCATTCACCCCTTAAATTACATCATGAAATCTAGATTGTCAATTAAATAGAAAGAAATTACAAAGATGTATAGAGTCAATTACATACTAAGGGATAATTATTACTATAAGAGTATATTAATGGAAGTGTTATGCAGTACTTCCTAAAACACCGACTTTTCTATTTTTTTGTGCATAACACATGATAAAGAAAATGGTCGTGTATATCTGTACATCATCTGAAACACTGCATTTTAAAAAGAGCAGTAATGCAGGTCCAGATGAGATAACAGTTTATATTTATAGTTTTTACACAGAACAGTTTATATACTCATATTTCTATTGTTTTAATCAGCTCACATTACCATGATACAGCATGCTACTTAGCCATCCATTTTCCCTGTATCTTCTCCCTTATCAGCAACACCGATATTCTCACCTCACCTCTTCCCTCTACTTCATTCTCGGTCACTCAGTAACCTGCTTCCACACATCCTGGACATTCATGTTATTTCTGCAACTTCTTTGTCATCGCAGGAAGAATAAGGTATAACCTCATCACTCTAAAGCCTGCTTCTACCTCCTGTTTCTTGTCTGGCTTCACATTTCTTTACTACTGAGACTCATGCAACATACAACCTACAGTTCTCTATACCTATTTATGCACTAGAATCAGTTCTCCAAACTCTCTCTCGGACTTTTTTTCAGTCTGGATTCTGCTAAATTAGCTGCCATTGATTTTACCAAAGCCTCTCCAATGATCTCCAGCTTCTCCTTCTAGGTAGCTGCTTCTGAAATTCATCACAACTTGATCATGTTAGCTCTGAAGATCTTGTTTCTCTCAGCTCTCACCACACTTAACTAAGAATTCACTTCAGCAACATATTCAGCACATATTACTTTTTTCCCTCCACACTGATCCCTAGGATACTTCGATGGTGCAAAAGGTTTTAATTATGCTATTCTGATAAAGGCTTAAAAATGTGCCGTCTCAAAGACAGGGATATGATAATAAATTTTAAGACTATTTTGTCATCAACTAAAATCAATTGTAGCTCAAACAAACAAACAAACAAAATCTTAGCTCTTCAAACCCCTTTCATCTTTCACTCAATTTCTCCATTTCCAGCAAAACAAACCTAGATCAAAATCACAGACAAAACAGCTTTAGCTAAGCTGTACAGGTTAGGACTGCTATCACTGTGTAACAAATGCACCAGGTATTCCCAAGAAGGTTTCTACAATGAAGAATAAATTTATTTTTCATATTACAATACATCTAAATGTTTGTGGCTGCATGTGACAATGACCCAAGTCACGATTAAAAGTGTATTTCAGATGTTGTAGATTTTACATGAATCTCAATCAACACTATAAGTGTACAATACAATTTATTTACATACACACAACTTCTGAAACATGTAAAATTACAAATGATATTCAGTAAAAACATTAAATTTTTCAGTATCTTTCCTATATCAAATCTTAGCTATTTTCTTTATGCCTTAGACAGAAGTGCCATGATATGATATCTTTTCAATTACAGAGAATGTTAAAAAGTCACTTAAATTGTAGTAAATTGTTGGCATTAAAATACAACTTTAGGATCCTACTCTTTGCTAATTGGTATTTCTTCCTTTGATTTCCAAAAAAAGCAACTGAATCCAAGATTTCATAGATTCACTGAAATATAATAAGAGGCAATGTAGTAATGTGAAAATATAAGAAAAATGTAATCTCTTGACATTTTCTTAGACTAACATTCGGAAACATTGGATTATTAAAGCTATGGAGGTCTTTGAAAACTGAAAAGGTTGAAGGAATACTTTTGTTTTCAAACAGAGAACTGTGCAGACCTTACTAGGTTTCTAATCTAACCATGGACCATAACCATAACATTCTGTATGAAAGGTAGATATCACACTTTCCCCGGACGTTTGTGTTTGTTAAAGAATGCTATCGCATCCATTTTAAGTTACAAACAGAAATTATGTTCATGGAAAAAATTCAGGCCAAACTGGTCACGGAATGTTAATGCTCCTAAAGGGCAAACAGAATGCAATTATAGAAGATACAGACCTTAGAGTACTGTCTGTTTCCTTCACATAACAGCAGTTAGAAATAAAATTAATTTTACTTGCTATATTTCCTCCTCCTTGTAAATAATGTTTTCAAATATATTTTTAAATATTCAAATTTATAATTTAAAAAATAATATTAATTAGTGGATGAGTCAATTATCCCTATAGTTAATATCTACCACATTTAGGAATAAATAATGACACTAGAAAGACAAAGATATTCTTCTGTGTTTTATTGCAGTCAAACAATAAAATGGATTAAATATACATTTTTCAATAGTCCACTTGACCTTGCTCAGCTTGGCATATTTTTGTAAACATGAAGCACGTAAAATCACATACCCAGTTACAAAATACTTAAATTTGATCACAGCATAATATACTCTCACAGTCCCATAATTCTACAAATACACTGTCACTGGTATATAAAAAGTCCTCCATTCACCATTCTAAAATTATTACCAAGATTCCTCACAAAATATGGCTTTGTAAAAATTATTGCTCTGCAATTCACAATCACAGGTAATTTTACTACAACATCCCATCCCAAAACACATCACAGTCTAAGAGTATTATTGCTTTCCTGAAAAGTCTAAAGAAATCACTTTGGGACATCTGTATTTGTTGATCAGATGCAACACTCACGTGGAGTCTCACCGAAATCCCAATACCAAAAAAAAGGCAAGCATATATGATGCCCCTTTCACTATGAAGTTAAGCATCTAGAAACCTGACTTCAAAACAGTGTTACAGAACTTGAAAATCTCCCTGTAAACCCAAAGGCAACCACTATTAGGGTTACCAAATTGACTTTTCTTTTTATAAATTTATCTTACTTTATTTCTCCTAAGCTCCTGTATCAGGCTTGGCAACTTCCTAAAATCACAGCAATTATTCCTGAGCCAAAAAGGAACACATGCAAAATACCAAAGAATAAAATATGTCTCCAAAATTGTGGAACAGCAGCACAGAACAGGTAAAAACCACACCTGTTATATTAAAATCCTAAATCACTCACAGTCTAAATTTCAGATGTACCATTTATAAGAGCATTTATAACTGTAGGTCTTAAATTTTGACATCAAACTTTTCCAAAGGTTGAATTTCAGAAGTTTTTTTCCTTTTTTTTAATAAAATTTGCAAATCAAGTATTTATACTCAAGTTTTTAAATAATTTACTGAATGTAAAGCTAACTAAATCTAGCTTTGAGATCATTATATTGGGAGGCAAACTAGAAAAATTTTACTAAATTCAACCTGATTCCAGCAACTCAGTTTTGTTGCAATCTCTACTAACATCCTGACAGACTATCATGTAGTCTCCAGACAGTTTTGCTTTATAAATCAAATGGGCACAAATAAAAAGTTCTAATTCACGCATCAATGGTTTTTGAAAAGTGTAATTTAGTAATCTGTCCTTTTATTGGTATAAATTAAACACACACATTTTGCATCTTGTTAGGCTATTTTAAAAATAACCTGAAATTCATGTAGTGTAACTGTCGACATAACATCAGTGCAAAGAGAGATAAGTCAAACTTCACAGCATAGTGTGTGCCTGATTAGTGTTTTTAATAAAATGCAATTAGTCTGTATGCTATATCAGCAGTTATAAAACATTTAAAAATTCATAATATGTTTCATTTGACCAAACTGCTCTGTACATACTGTACGAATCCACAACAAAAGATATATATTAAAATCTGAAAAAATGTACTTGCTGCTACGTTATAAATAGAATATTAACAATTGCTTAAACAGTACATGAAATGCAGCTCAAAGTTGCAACTCTGTCACAAACACAGAAGAAAAAAATAATGAATTCACTAAACTTGACCAAGGGAAAAAAAATATCAGACAGGAATGTAAACTAAACATCCAAATGTTAAAAATGCTTACTAAAATGACAGTTGGCTAAAACCCAGTTACAACATCTTAGTGTTCATTCCCCAAACCCTGAACTGCTTGGTAATTACATCATAAGATCTATTACAACCATCTGCTCCCCTTTTGTAGCGTATGGTTAGGGCTGGTCCTCCTGATGTAGGGACTTTTCTTTTGAAGCTTTAAGTATCTGAAAAAATAAGGGGAAATCTATATTAAAGGACCAACCAAAACACAACTCACTCTAAAACAACAACAAAAAAAATCTTAAATGGTAAAAAATGCAACTTTGTATCAGACTAGTCAGTTTGAGAAAGCTATAATTTCTAGGAGCTACCTTAAGGAATATACACAAAGTTGCCATATAAGGTGGGAAATATTTATCTACACAGTAAATTTTTTTATTACCATATGGCACTTCATTTACCTTGTAAAGGAAATCTAGGCCATGTCCCAAACACATTAAACCAATTTTTTTTGTTTTGGTGGGTTTTGTTTGGGTTTTTTGTTTATTTGTTTGTTTGGTTTGGTTTTGGGTTTTATTTGTTAAGGTCAAAGACAATTGGAAAAGAGGAGCCAGGGAATAAGGAAGGGTCAAAGTTCTAAAGTGGAAACTTCTCTACACATAAGGGATTTCAGCAGTTGGTAAAATAAATGTAGGGTTATAAAAATGTCAAGGATACAAGGTGAAGGGGAGGAGTGGGACAACCCATAGATATTTTATATCTGAAATCATATAAGATGGATCAAAATCCAAATACAGAGAGCAATGGTATCCCAAAACCTGTGATATGTCTCCCCTAAAATATGCATCCAACAAGAATCACTCTATCACAACCACTGCAATTTATGTGCCAGTGTAAAACAGGATTAGTAAAAAAAAATCTGAAGCTGGTCTATCACATCATTCAAGTGCATTAGTTAGAAAAATGTGGATTATAACTGAAGCTAAAGTAGCCTGGAAAAGAATACCAGTAATAATTTTAGAAATAAACTCAGAGAATTGGAAAACAGTATCTACAGATACCCAAACATGTATTTTAGTAGTATTACTTCTTTTTTCTGATATACCCTGAAGTCAGAAAAAAAACTTTTTACTTGCACTCCAGCATATTCCAATCCCACACCCAATCTCTTCACTGGTGATGTGAGAATGTTCCTCACAGCTAAATTCAGCCTCTGAACTATCTCCTGTTTTCTTTCTAAAAAAACTAAATTCCTATGTTTTACCTTATGATAAAACAGCTGCTCCCAACCTGACAGAAACTGTTGAAATGCAGTTGCATCAATTTATAAAACTGAAGAATAAGGACTCTATAATGATATTCTGAATTTCTTTTACACTGTCTGAAGTTATGTATATTACATAAATAGATGTAAATATACGTAAAGAGTGCATATGTGTATAAAGGGATTCTTCATTCAGAAGAGAGTTCTTGGTTGTCTGTAGTACAATGAACTTCAGTGCTGAGAGAACAGGAAATATTAGACTTTGAATACCTAAACACAAAGACTTCTGACAATAAAATCTCTGTACTGAATCTTCCCTCACAAATAACATATTAAAAAATCCATGGTAAACATGAATGTCATACTCTAAGAGGAATATTTGAGAGTAATGTTGCTTTCTAACTGAAAGATTCATATACAAAAAAGGCAGATAAACATACTGAATAGCAGAAATAAATAATAATTTAATACTTATTTTTATTCATGGTCAACAGTCATTTACATCCTCTGTTTCTTTTCTCAGTTTTCTGAGATGCTACTTGAATTCTACTTTTTGTGCAGAAACAATAAGAGGTAAGGGTAACCTTGTGATTTAAGAAGTGTTGTACTAGTTTTGGAAACAAATACAGGTAAAAAAAAATAGATCTAAAAGATCTTTTGAAAGCATCAGGAATGCATAGTATTTCAAACTAGAACATGCTATTATTCTAACAGTGTTTGAAAACAGTAAAGATTCTTTTAGTATCACAGTACAACAAAAGGAGAGTGGACAACTATGTTCACAACTATGTTCATTTCCACCATCATATTTGAAAATACGTCTGCAATTAAAGGAATGATCGTCCCTCTGTACTCAGCACTGGTGAGGTCACACCTCAAATCCTGTGTTAATTTTGGGCCCCTCACTACAAGAAGGACATTGAGGTACTGAAGCATGTCCAGAGAAGGGCAACAAAGCTGATGAAGGGTCTTGGAGCATAAATCCTATAAGGAGTGGCTCAGGGAGATGGGGTTGTTTAGCCTGGAGAAAAGGAGGGTCAGGGAAGACCTTATCTCTCTCTGCAACTACCTGAAAGAAGGCCATAGCCAGGTGGGGGTCGGTCTCTTCTGCCAAGTAACAAGTGATAGTTAAGAGGAAACAGCATTGAGTTGTGCCAGGGGAAGATTAGATCAGGTATGAGGAAAAATATCTTCCCCAAAAGGGTGTTTAAGCACTGGAAGAGGCTGCTCACAGGGAAGTGGTGCAGTCACTGCCCACGGCAGTGTTTAAAAGACATGTAGATGTGGCACTCAGAGACATTGCTTAGCGGTGCACTTGGCAATGTTAGGCTTACAGCTGGACTTGACCTTAAGGATCTTTTTCAACCTAACTGATTCTATGATTCTATATATTTTGGAAATCATCACTACTGTACAAAACACCTAAGATTATTTTTATTAATTTATTGCTGCAAGACTGAGCCATAAATTACAGCATAGAAGTGACAGAAATGTGGTCCAAAACTTAAAGATTTCAAGTTGGCACTTGCATTCTGACTTTAATTTTAAAATAGTATATGTAAGCCAACAGATCATCCTCAATATCTTCATATCAACACAACTGGCACTGTGCAGTGGAAACTTTCTAACAGTCCAGTAAGGGCCTTTTTGTTATTTTAACTTTAAGCAGAAATATTTTCTGAGAGAAAACATGTTTTCCTCTTCTACCGTTACAACTTAAAGCACAACAAACCAAACCAAGAATACCTTTGCTGAACTTCTTGCCATGCTGTCAAAGCAGCTACTGTTTGTTCTTATACTGATTATAAGCTTTGGTTAAGAATACTCCCTATTCATTATGAAACAAAACATTTTAGATAAGGCGTCTATTAATTGATATCTATGGCTTCAAACATTTCAACACACCATATGGCTGTTATAAACAGATTAGAAAGACCTCACAGACAACACAGTTACATATTGATATGAGCATTTCAAATCACCTCAGTTAAGGTTCAGCAAATAAATTAAAATATTACCTAAACCATGCCTTCAATCTGTACTTGGCAACCACAAAGGTCTCCTATATTTTTTCACTTCTCTGGTTACTTTTGGCACAACCAAGAGCCAAACAGAAGTTTCCTTTACTGCATGGAAAAAAAAAAACCACCCCAGAACCCTCTGGGCACCACACCTCCTAAGAGCTTCTGCACAGTGCAAAGATTAACTAACCCAGAAAGGTGCTCAGGCTAACAAGAACAAAGCAGAAATATAGCCCTCAGTGCTCTTGGATTGCAGCTCAGCTGATCTACTGCCCCGAGATACAACTCTCACTCAACACAATTACTTTGTTACAACTAACAAATTAGTACCTTATAACAATTAACTCCAAAAAGCAGTGAAATGTAACAATATATAGTCTCCAAATTCCGAAGCCACTTAGCTACTCTAAAAATGGTTTTGGTCAACTCTATGTTTACTATTGTCAGGCAATAGATGGAAGAACTGGAAGTGCTCTTGTTCTTGATATCAGTTATGTCAAGAAAAATGCAATGGCACAACAAAAAAAGTCCTGTTTCCAGAGCATTGCTCAAAGAATGTACCACAGCCAAACTCCAATAGCTCTGACTGACACTCAGAGAATTAACAGTATCACTGTCCATGATCAGTTACTCTGGAGAGGAAGTATGCACATATTCTGAGACCTGAAATTGTTCTATTTCCCTTTACAGTAAAACTGTCCAGCTCTATCTGAAATCATTACAAATTAAGTTGTAAATTAAAACCACTAATAGTTTATTTGGAATAATAATTACCGAGTAATTACTGCTACCACTGATCAAGTACACAAAAAAATTATCGCTTCAAAACCAAAAAGCAACTTCGACATTACTGATATCCCTTCATGCCTCTCCACAAAGTAATTTGTTTATAAATTTCCATGTAGCTAGAGCTTCATTTTTTATTTTCTAAAAAATCCCAAGCATTTAAAATTGACTTACCCACTCGAACATCATTTGAATAATCCTCAGCTTGAACAGGTATTTCTGTAAATCAAAAATGTAAAAATAACTCAAGTTGGATTTCTCCCTTAATATTTTTAAAAGCCACTTTTTTCTCTTATGTTCAAAACAGTGACCTATCAAGACCGCTCTGTAATACTGCTTTTGCAGAAGCGGAATGCAAATTTCTTCCTCAGATGAATTTTTCCAAGGGGAAGATTAATATTTAAGGAGGTCAATGAGTAAATTGCAGAATTGCACAGTTTCAAAAATGATACTTCAAAATTCTGAAACTATACTACCCAAAGCACAAATCTCCCAGTTTCACATGCTACTGCATACAGGCTTAGAAAAATTCATATACTTCCCAGCTGCAATTGTGAAATACTTGACCTCAAAATTCAATTATTTTTAATTCCATATGTACGTTTAAATTAGACATGTCACACATCACCAAGTGTTATTACTGCTAACAGACTGAAGGCTGCACACAGTCCCTATTAATGCAGTCAGGCTCACCAGAAAAAACTTCACAATAGCCAGGATGCTGGTTGCAGACAATAAGAGGAATCAAAGAGAGGGAAATACATTCTCTGACTTGGGAAGCCCACAAATAAAGCTCAAAGTTGGGGAAACTTGATTTCTCACATATACTCTCTTTCCCAAGTATGCACTACTGACTGGTTGGTGGAAAACAGAGCAAAGAAAAGAAATCTTCAGTTTTATCATATGGCCTAATATGGTCATTTTTATCAATGTAAGTTTTTCTGAGTTGGTAGCACTCTCAACTTCTAAAACTGAAGAGTGCTTTGAAAGCCATTAAAATATTGTCATTAAAAAACCCAAGGTGACAGATTCCAACAACACAGATATGTTTGTCCTCAAAAGAAAACAGCTGCAGGAAAAGTTATGAATGTATTTTTATTGCAGCATAAAATTCTATTTCACAATATTTATAATTCTCAATTTTCTTTTAAGTGGCAAACCCATGTAAAACATAACATACAAACCTGATTCCTCTGGTTCAACAGCCACATCGTCTTCTGATTGCTTACTTTCTACTGTTACAAAGAAAATAAGTGTTAAAATTCATAAATAGTACATTTACAATTTTGTTCTTATCCCCTAGCACCCACACAATCAAATCAGTATCAAATGAGAAGGAAGAGAAACTGCTGTTTCCCCATTTAATTAGAATGCATTTTTCAAACAGAAAATCTAAATAAATATAGCATCAAATGCTACACACTGTGCTCAAACTAAACTACTTAGATCACTTAGCTCTAGCTGACATGTTTGAAAAAAACTTGCTTAATGACATTTTTAACTTCTAAGAACAAATCTTTAAATCACACAGTAGTAGTAGTTTAAAATTTCCCAATACCAATACAGCAAACAAAAATTTACAACTTAATCTTTTTGAGTGGCAACGTTGAAAATTAACACAGAGCTCCAATTTGAGGAATGGAGTAAGTACTTCATATGAACATCATGAAGTTCAACAAGGCCAAGTGCAAGTTCCTGCACTGGGGTCAGGTGCTGGAGCATCTCTCCTAAGAAGACGGGCTGAGAGAGTTGGATTGTTTAGTCTGGAGAAGAGAAGGCTGCAGAGAGACCTTATCGCAGCCTTTCAACAAGGGATCTCGTGAGAAAGACAGAGACACTTTTTACCAATGCCTGCAGCAACAGGACAAGAAGCAATGGTTTTAAAGTGAAAGAGGGTAAATTGAGATTAGACATACGAATGAAATTTTTTATTCTGAGTGTGGTGAGACACTGGAACAGGTTGTCCAGAGCACTAGAGATGCTCCATCATTGGAAGTGTTCCAAGTCAGACTGGACAGACCTTCGAGCAATCTGACTTAGTGAAAGATGTCACTGGCCATGGTAGAGTTTGAACCACGTGATGTTTAAATGTCTCTTCCAACCCAAACTGTTTGATGATTCTACATACACATTTATCTGCTTTGTTTTTCATCTGCTTGTTTTTTAATTAAATTAATATAATTTTTTTCTTTCACAAACTATAAAAACTCATACCTGAAACATCTTTAGCAACATCAAAATCTTCAGTAACTTTATCTATAATAAAAAGGGAAAAGTATATAATGAACTTGCTTTTTTTTAACATCAGATTTTCAAATGCATATATTTTATCAAAAGACTTTAAGATCACAGTTACAAAATATATACCTGGCTCTGTGGCTTCATTCACCTCCTCTGGAAGGTCATGAATAGCTAAAAAAAACCCATTTGATTCAGAGCAATAATGAAGTCAAGCCCTCAATTTATGGAATTTACACACAGCACAAAATAACACAACTAGCGCACAGACATGTTTACCTGTGAACAGTAAACTGCTATTGACAAACAGGAACTTTGATGAATTTAAGGGGAAAAAAACCACTAGAGAATTCCTTTACTTCATTCTAAACTAAAGAACTGTAGTTTTTTTTCAATCAGCTGTCTGAGATGATTCCAAAGAGCTGCTATTTCAAGACAACAAAGTATACAGGACGCAGAGAGGGTACTGCAGACAATTTTTAATTGCTTCTGCTAATTAGATAAATGTACCCACAAAAGTCTGCATCAAAGTAGAGTTAGTATTTGCAGCCTGTACATTTTGAATGATCTTACACACTGGTTGCAAGGTTCTGAGCAAAGATCACAGCAGGCAGCAGGTTGATTATCTGTGCTGAATTACTGTGTTCCTACTGTCCACTAAAAGCCTCAGATACCCCACTTTGTGTCACTTGAGACCTTAAAGATGAATCCTCAAGGACAGCATCTTAAAAGGTGTCTCAGCTCATAGTCAAAAACGTAACAAACCTTTGCTGTAACTGGCAACTGTCATAACTGAAGGTGACACAGATTATATATCTCAATATATACAAACAGCAAGATTAAGTTGATAATTGTTATGCTAACTTGCTTAAAATATTTCTCTGATTTTGAAAACAATATGTATTCTAATAACACTTATTTAGAGGTATTTCTACTTGACATATGAAACAAAGCTTTTCTAATATGTTTCATAAAGAGAAATATATACAGATGGTGGGATGTGTGTGGGAGTTACACACACCCCACTCACACATATACATACATACATATGCATTAATATATATATGTATATACCTGTATCTTGAGTCTCAGTCTGCTTTTCATGTTTGGGTTCTGAAAGAAAAAATAAAGTTGCTGGGTGGTTTATAGGAAAAAATATCCTAAAAATTTGGTTGTTAAGCATCCAGGTAACTTCTTTAATGATAAAGTCCTTAAAAAACTTTCCCTACTTTGGGGTCTGAATAGATACATGAACCCTCTTGGGAGCTTGTAGTAGAAATTTTACACACACACACAAAAAATATACTTAATGTGAACATATTGCTGAAATTTCAAGCCTTTCTATCTACATAGGTGAAATGCTGAAAACAATGACAACATTAAATCCATACTTCTGTACAGTTGCTATAATTTTTCTATGTTCTTAATATTTGAGTAAAGAGTCAGTCTAATTTTTGTAATTTTGAAGAAATAGATTAAGAATACGAAATATTTAATTTTAGATAATGTCTGAAAATAGAGGAAAATGCTATCCATTGTCTGAATTTTCAATATACACTCACCGTAAATTTTAGAACTAAAGAAGTTCAAAGTTCATTCAGTGTTTTGAATGATTTCATTATCTTAACAGGTACTAACTCTCATCTGAAAAAGGTCAATCGGCCAATTACGTAAGATTTAAAAAAACAACCAACCAACCAAAAACCCCTCACATCTTTATAGCAGTGATTCATCTTATAAGGTACTAATGGTCATATGGTTCTCCCTACATTCCTTAGAAAAAAGTTCTTACAGAATATCCTTAAAAAACCATCCAAAACTCTTTAATTCTAATGAAAATCTCAAACTTGCTTTCCTTCTCCAGTTTCATTGCTACAAGCTGTAGCAAACTCTTCGTAAAACTACTGAAAGTTGTGTACAATAACTGAGTTCTTCTATTCCAAATTATATGATCAATCTATTTACACACTCCACTGTAGGCTATCATACACTTATTTCAACTACAGAATTTTTAGCATTAGCAATAACCTCAGTGATGTGATTACAGGAACCACGATCCTATTAGAGCTGGTCCCTGACTGAATTAAGAACCAAGTCATACAAAGCAAGAGTCACAAAAGAAACTGAACTGCTCTAGCCAACAATCCTCTTGGCACTGCCCTCAGCTTTCTGACAATTCCAGAAAGCACCAGAATTTAAGAAAACATTTCATCAGAGGGTCTTGCCAGAGGAGGGGAAGCATCTGATAGAGATGGGGAAGATACACTGACTCCAGAATAGAGAAGCTTACACTTCTGTTGACTTCACAGACAATTTCATCTCAAGCTTTAAACTGAATCTTCTTGAGGAAGTGAACTGCAGTTTTGGAGCCCATGCCAAAACCACAAGCTTTACATTTGAGAGAAAGAACTTCAGATCTCCACAATGGTCTCCATCCCTTCTTTGACTTTAAAAAAACAGGTGCTAAAACTGCTTTTCTCCAGAAACAGAGCAAATCTGTTTCACTTTCAATCCAACCAAACTAGTGGAAAAAGGTACAAGAAAGATGGGTCCATAGACAAAAGGGATGGAAAAGGGGTGCAACAATGGTGTCTAGCACATGAACGTGAACATGCCCTGAAACTTGACTGACTGAACTCCTAAGGAAAAACTGGTGTGTCACAGGAAGGCAGATCAGTTGACCCGTCTTTTTCTTCCACACTGCTCCAGGCTGGAGCTCTGAAATTCCTCCAAGAAGAACAAACGCATGGTGCTTTCTCTTACAACCAGAACGTCTTCAAGGGAGAACTTGAAAGCAAGGTAAAATTATGCCATGAAAAAGCGAACTTTTATCAAGAGAAAAGCAGTTTGCCACAGATTATGTTGAACTGTGGGAATAATTTATTCCATAAAGAAGCCTGGTAAGCAAAGAACAATAAATTTTTTGACAGTCACCTGCTACCTTAGAATTTCCTTTGGAGAAATATTCCTATTCTTGTTATCATCCTAATCAGAGGATTGGATGCTATTTAGAACTCTCACTGTAGCACACAGAGGCAACTCACATGAAACCACTGCTTGCTGAAGCACATGAATTACTCACAAAATAGAGTGATTCACTGTTATGGTGCCAGGGTGCCAGAAGAGACTGCAGAATATGAAATAGTTTTGCAACTGATTTTATGAAAAGCTGACGTAAATTACTTCAGTTACCTCCCTGATCAAAAAGCTGAGCTTACTCAAAAAGTCGATATAAATAATAGTTCTCGAGGGCATGGAAGCATTTTCTGTCCATGTCACCACTACATATGAAGAAGTATGAAAGTAAAGATTAAGAGTTCCACTTCTTCATATCTAGGTGCGAGAAGCAAGAGGAAGTGATTCCTGTCTGGGAATCGATCGTAAAATAAATATCTCCTGGAAAGGTGGGTAAAAAATAAGCCCCAGGAAAAAATCTAGAGGTCTCTTGGTTTTCCATCCTATTAATGCCAAGACATTTTGTCAGGGGCACCATCACTGAGGCAAATAAGTATTTTCTGCAGACTGCGAAAGACACAGACTATGTGCTAAATACACTTTTGGGCCACTAAAAGTCTTCTGGCATCGAAAGACAGACTTAAAAATGATAAAGCATTATCAGTAGGCTTTCTTATACAGGTCATGAAGCCATCTAAAAACTACCTATAATTCAGAATCAAAATATTCTTAAATCATTTCTATATACAGCTAACTTCTACAGTGCAATTTTGGATCTTGTTATGGTTTGCTTGCTTTTAAAAAAAATTTTAAAGACATTACTTTCTTCTTGACATCACATTAACTTCAACATCTCTGACATATATAAATTCTTTTTTTATCCACAAACACTTCTATATGATTTAAAATACCAATATCCATTCTCCTGAAAATTCAACCCTCAAAATATTATTCAGCCCATTTGGGTGATATTAAAGAGAAGTAGTACTCATATAGCTCTTAGTATTTTTTCAGAATATAAACAAAAACATGTAATAACTGATGTAATAACTCATTAAAGAATGGAAGTTATCTAAGAGCTCCAATGTTTTCAGTGTTGGGTGGTTTTTTTGCATGATTGTTTGGTTTGGGGACAAAATTCAATGAAACTTCAATAAAAAGAAATAAGACTTTGGACTATACCTGTGTAATGTTCCATAGCATCTTCTAGTACTACCTCAGAGTCACCTTAAATAAAAATATTTTACATTTCCATCAATTTTCATGCAACAGCTAAATATCACGAGAACTTAAATAGTCACATATTTAGCACAAGAATAACAGAACTAAACATACTGAGTTAATACTACAATATTTTATTTGAAAGTAACAGCTGAATTGTAAAACACATCCAGGAGATGCACCATAAGACAAAGAGTATAATAAGTTCATGCACATTTGTATTTAGGTTTAAAATTAAGAACATAAGTGGGTCTTGGACAACCAATCCATTGATTAGACTGCAAGACTCCTGACAGAACAAGATTGTAAGTATTTGTGGATTGGATTCATGAAATGTTATGCTCACAAATGGAATGGTAACACAGTGGTAAAAAAATCAGGCTTACTTGAAACAACCTAAAAACTGTTTGAAAATAAAACTGTGATGAAACAGTCAATATGACATATTACTTTGTAGCAGATTTTAAAAATGTGAGATTATATCATCATCTGAAGTAACGAAAATTTACAAACCTGGAGTTTCTGGATCACTTACTCTTCCCTCCATAGATACAACATAATCATCTGAAGCTGTAAATTAAATATGAATAAATATTTTGACATAAAAAATAGGATTTTTTAAAAAATATTTGATTGTTTTAACTTGCACCCATAATGCATCTGTCAATAGCTAAATGTAGCTCCTTAGTTGAAAACTGACAAATTAAAACTTTACAAAGTGATACAACTTGACACATGGCAATCTAATGGAAGGTCTTGGGTCACTCTCTCTTGTAGTCCTCTGTTATACAATCTGTATGAAAAGTAGATCCACGTGAGCCATTACTCTCCAGCATATTTTTTAATATTTTTTTTAATATAAATGAAAAATGTAAACTTCCTCTATCTTCAAATTCTACAGTATCTTCTTAACTGACATGCAGGAGTCTGACTTCATGATGATCCACAGAAGACAAGATATGAGCCAGAAATCAGACCTTGCAAAATATGTACTTCACTTCTGGCATCACAGATTTACAGCAATTTACTTCTTTTCACTACCTAGCTAAATATTTGTATTATTCTCCCCTATGACTACAATTCTTTGCAATGTTGTTGATATACCTGGTATGACACATCTGAAAAAACACGATACTGAAGGTAAGAAACTAATCATCACAGCTTGGATTCTAAACCAGTAACTGGAAAGCAGTAATCTCCTACATAGTTTGGAATAAACAGTGTTAGTTGAGTAAACAATTTTTTTTCTACTTTTCTGTCACATTTGGCATCAAACAGGACTGCAAAGTCCAGAACTAACATTGAGTCAAAAAGAAGAAGCCTAGTCCAAACATAAATGCATATCTAATGTAAATGGAAAAGGCTGTCTGTACTATAAATAAACACTGTTAGAATTCTGAAGAAAATATTTATCAGACAGCAGGTAAACTGTAATATCGACCTAATGCTTCTACATAATGGGAAAGATGAGCTAATGCCATTGTACATGATATCAAGCACAATCGGAAGATGACTATAAGCTAATTGGATTAGTCCAGGCAAAATTTTAAAAAGCTTTCAAGATGTATTAAGGTGAGCAGAAAGATAGCACAAGGATAGTTCAGAATCATGTCCTTGGCGCTGACTCACTCTCTGATAGTAGAGTCAGACACAAAGAAACAAACAATCCTGAAGAAAAAGTTAAAAACTGGATGCTTCTGATGCCAAGAATAACAGTCTAGAAGAACTTTAGTGTTGCAAACTGTAAGAAGGCAGTAATATAAGCAATAAATCTCATTCTCACTTTCTTAGACTGTACAAACCACAGATCTCTTGCCTAGCCAGATCCCAATCATGCACAACAGCCAGAAACACACAGTAAATATAAAGTTTGTGCAGCAATGAAAGCAAAGCTCCCATTCCAGTCATCCACTAATAAAGACTTTCAACAGCAAGTATGATACAGTCATCTCAATGTAAAAATATCCATGACAATACAAGAAGTTATTTAGAGAAAAAAAATTCAAAATTACATATTTCTAAACCAGTCTAACAGTTTCTATTTTTCTTTCTCATATAATTTGTTACACTTAGGCAGAAAACCAGTATTACTTAGTTTAGAAAAATAAAATGATACCTGGAACTTCATAGGGCTCAGACTCCACTGCTTCAAGACCATCTGCCAAAAGATCAGCATCTGAAAAACAAATATGTTTATACAAATTGTAACATTTTTATATTAATACACAATACCACAAACCCTATAACAGACATTATGTAAGAATGGAGTCAAATTTCTAAATAGAAATTCTAAGCAAATTTCTTTTAATGGCAGCAAGACATATACAGACTGAAAAAATAATACAATTTTGTTCTTCTATATAATATTGAGAATGTGTATATATGAATAAACTCTATACACACTTGCCCAAAAAAGATGACTATCCACAGAAAGTTTTGTGTAAATGTGAAGGAATAAGAATATATTTACTTTGCCTTCTTAATTGCAATGATATAAAGTAAGTGGAATTTGAGTATCTCCTCTAGCGTCCTACTTTAAGTTGAATTGTGAATGAATAAAAGAGATACAGAAACAAAGAGGTATAATAGACCCAGATTGAAAAGAATTACTTCTGTTGTGAAGAAAGAATCTCAGTGTACTTCCAGTAATTAAAACTTTCAGATGACATCTGTTACATGAGTTTTTCAAAGAGATGTATTAAGAGACGTGTAAGATTTCCAGTAGGGCAGATAAAAAGCATTCAGAAATCATTTGCCCCAGGTTGGATTAGATCATATGATTCTGCTTAAATATTTTTACTATAATTTTTATCATCCTGTCAAAGCCACAAGGCAGTAAGATATGAGCATCTTTTTTTATATGTCTTCATCTCTGCAGGACTTACAACATAATTGATGCATAACAATCTCTTAGGGAGATACATTTGAATGGAAGAAGAATAAGTCTGTCTAGAAAAGGTTCTTTTAATAAACTCTTAAAATTTAGTTAAATAAACCAGGAATTCCAGAGGTAGACTCTATACAGGTATTACAGTTGGGGAATGGACAGACTGAGAGTAGCCCCGCCAAGGGTTGAGTTGAGGGTGCTGGTAGGTGAGAGGCTGGACATGGAACACCTCTTGTCTGAGAAAAGGCTGAGGGAATTGGGGTTCAGCCTGAAGAACAGAAAGCTCTAGGGTGACCTTATGGGAGCCTTTCAGCCCCATAAGGACAAGAAAGCTGAAGAACTTCTTACAAGGGCACATAGTGATAGGACAAAGGTTGGGCTTTAAACTGAAAGAAGGTAGGTTTAGATTTGATATAAAGAAATTCCTTACTGTAAGGGTGGTGAGGCACCTGGAACATGTTACCCAGAGAAGTTGTGGATGCCCCATTCCTCTAAGTATTCAAGGCCAGGCTGCAAAGGGCTTTTGAGAAACCTGATGTAGTGGAAGGTGTCCCTGCCCATGGTAGGGGGGTTAGAACTAGCTGATCTTTAAGGTCCCTTCCAACCATTCTATATGATTATAGTCATCCCTCTATTGTGGAGAGATATGCATATCTGGAGCACAGACTAATTTGGTTGAAAACCAATACAGCATTAATTAAATAATAATATATAGTTACCTGAATTCCAAAACACAGAGCATTAAAATATACCATTTTGATTTAAAGATATTTATTTGCTAAATAATACTATCTGTGTTTGATACTTGCTACGTCTCTAGTCTAAGCAGAAATTACAAGTCAAGCTTTTCATGAGACGTTTACATTTGTCTGGGTTGTTTGGGGTTTTTTTTGTAAATTTAATTTTAAATGTATTTAATCATTCAGATACCTTTCTGAATTGAGTCTGGTGTCTCATATGCTTCTGGTATTTCGTTCTCTAATTCTCTGTGCATGTCATCTGTTGTAGGAGCTTCAAAAGTTTCTCCATGTATTTCTTCCTTCACTTGCCACTGGTCACTTATACTTTCATCTACATCTTCGTGCCTCTCTCCTAGTCAATAATGCAGATTGTTAGTGAATACATACTCTTTGGTATATTCAATTACCAGCAAATATTCAGTCTTCAGTACACTCTTTGGGTTTTCCAACAATTCTCTAAAGGGTATGAGGAGGGGGACAGATGATTTGTCTGTACCTGCCAGCACGATAAACCCAAACTATCTACACTGACTTGACAGGGTCTTCTCTGCCCACAGTAAAGGCCATCTCTGTTCTATGCATTCTTGTACTCTATGCAGTATATTGAGCAAGTTTTTGTCAACTGACTGATTTGAACTATTGCTGCCAAACACCTCTGGGTAAGAGGCCACAGCATTAGGATTTGGTGACTGAACTTTCCAAATTTTCTTGAAAATGACATATGAGCTTAGAATGTTTTATGCAGGCAAAACTACTTTAAGTGCATACCAAAACCAGACTGAGATACATCTAGCCTATGGCAGTATTTATAAACTCTTCAGTGATTCCTAAGTGTTAATGCATTACCAGGCTGGGAATGGAGAGTTTCATGCAGAACAGACTGACTTTCGTCTTCCAATTCTACGTCAGCAGTCTTGTACTCTAAAAGGATTATAAATTGCAGTGAAAGTAAGTGTAAAAGGTAATGTCTGAACATCAATCACATCAGATTTGTTCTGAATATGAATTCAAAGAATTTATCTACACTGCATTTTCTGCACATATATTTTTCTCAAGGGCAGTAACAACTTCAGATAACTGTTCAAACCAAGAACTCACATTGAAGTAATTATTTTACTAACACTTTAATCCTCTACCTTCTTACAATTTAGGCAGCAGCACTAGCATGTCATATTTGACAACAAAATGTCACTTGTAAAAAATAGGGTCTTGTTGACTTTATAAACAGGGAAAATAGATACTAACATTACAATATCAAGGTCTTATTCTACTAGGAATTGCCAGGAGAAATCACAAACTGGTTTCAGGGACAAGTGACTGGCATCTAATACACCAGACCAGAACATAACAGGAATTTGCATGAAGTGTTGCCTTCATATAAATGTCCTGAAATTAACACTCAGAAATGTTACAGCACAAAAAAACCAGATCACAGCTGCATTTTCAAATAAAGACCTAAAATGGTACCAGTTACAGAAAAAAAAAGTAACACAAGTATCTTATAACAAAATTTATATTCCATTTTACTGGCCACATACTCCATACTTGTGCATTTATGTGTTAGGCTGATATAAATATCGAGTAGGATAAGCCACTCCAAGTAGCAGAAAAAACATGTACTCTCTGAATAACACTAAAATGCAAATTGCGCACATGAAATGTGACATGTAAACACTTTTCCTGAATCCCTCTTTAACCTAACACATTTTACTAATACTATGGGGCTTTTAAAATGTTTGGCTTTTTTTTCAACAGTAAAAGCCCTACTTATGGTACTTATGATATACTATTGGTTTTAGTGGAAAAGGGAATATTTGATTGTGTTATGAAGTTGGTTCTTCAGGGTTTTTTTTTGTTTAAGGTGGAGAATCCGCTGTTATTCTGACTGGATATACAGTTGCAAATGTATCTAAACCACAACTGTACATCACCAGAAAGTTATTCTGATG